CAACGTTTTCATGCCCAGATGTCCTGCTGCATTTGGTATTCCTGCTTTCACACGAATTTACTCCTGGAAATGGTGAGATGAGTACAGGTTTAAAATGGACAATGAAGCAGAAACGGAAGCCTTGGCAGGAGTTTGGCTTCCGAAATCAGGATGAATGTCAAGGAGCACTTTCTCTGATCAGTTCATTCCTTTGTAGGGTTTCCAGCTGACCTGAGATGTTCTGTACTTATTTTATATAGGATTTATGGACTGATATGATTAGAGAAAAAAATAGTTTATGGACCTGAATATGCCTTTACTCTCTCAAGTACAGATCAGGAGTAATACAAAATTAGTGTGAGAATGAGACACATATTTTTATCAGTTATATCCCAGTCTAAAGATTACATTGTGCAAGTGGGAGAAAAATACAAACTAGTAAATCATATATGCTGCTTAGACATTAAACTGCTTTCCTCAAAGTTAAATAAAACGGGAGAACCATAATGAAAAGGCAGAGGTGCCAGCAGGATACAATTAAGTTGTGAATTCCTAAGCAGAGATATAATATGTAGAACCCTTATCTGTTGTGAGCAAATTATAAATATTCGTGGATTACTCATGAACAAAACATTTGAGTCAGTTTTCTCACAAATAATTGAGGAGAAATTCATTGGCTTTCCTGTAGCTATTTGAGCTTGCTTCCCTGAAAGATTTGTGAATGTATCCATCTCTGTATACATTCTCTTTTCCCTCATATATGTTTCTTTTCACTTGTGAAAGTCATATTTCTGTGTTTCTATCTTTTTCAGGAGCTGTAGCTCCTTGCAGTGTATTGAGTATTGTATTTAAAGTACCAGTAAAGATATGCCACACTCTATAAAATGCAATAATATCTCTTATATATGGAGAAATTAATCATTTCAAGGGAAAGAAGTTAAAATTATAATTCAGATAAGACAATTCTGGTTTTTGTTTTCAGACAGGAAGGATGTTTTAAGGACATCTGAAACTCATCTGTAATTATAAAGTTGTCATTCCTTCACACAAATAATATAATTCAGTAAAGCAAACCGTTAACAGAAGAGGCTAAATTTTCTTTTTCACTCAGAACAGATTCTATTCAGTTCCTGACAGGAAATTGTCCTGATACAATGCATTATTGGCTAGTCTCATCATAGAGGCTACTGTCAGTGGGCTAAGCTACAAAGGCTGGAAGTGGGTAGGTACACTCCCCAGTACTTGTTATTCAGAGTTTTTCAGATGTCCATTTCAGAAACAAACAAAAGCATCATTTGCCTGGTGTAATATGTGAAATTATCTTTTTCCTGTGCAAAGTCTGTATTTCTTTCTTCTTCAGTGCTGAACTTTAGAGTCCAAATCATATACCATGGAAAAAATTTGAAGGGGAACATGCTTTAAGCTTTCCCAAGGCCATTTTACAGAATTCCTGCTTCCCTGGGCTTTTAACGGTCTGTAACAGATGAGCATATAGTTTATTAAGTATATATTCACTGAGAATGGCCAGTTAATCATAATTCCCAAGATCAAGACCCTAAATACAAGAGTCTGATATACAACACTCTCAGACACACCAGAAGGCTGCTGCAGCACCCAGAGAGAGTGTGGAGGCTGCAGCTGAACAAGCAGGAACGTTGGTTCTCGTTCTTCATGAGCAGTGGCTCCACAGATCACAGTCCAATCTTATCTGTTCATTTCTGAATCTCAGATAAGCCTTCCTGACTGTGGAAGTTAAACCACCTGCATTGTTACAAATTATGAGGTCCATAGGACATCCTTTTTTCCTGGTGCCATGTTAGTACCTTTGAAGTTTTGTTTTGACAGTAATAGAAATTTATTTTAGTTCTTATTTTGAAATAGGGATAAAGAGGTTTATATGAACACATACTCACCTAATGCATCAATATGTTCTAATTAATGTATTATCTATTCAGTGTTACAATAATTCACTTTAACCCTTCCCAGTGAATTATTTATATAGTGACGTTTGTTAGCAAACTTCCATTTGCATCACTTTTACATTATTATTCTCTTTATTAATTATACTTCTAATAATTCTTTAGTGCTTGATCTCATTAATAAAGAAGAATAGATGGTGCTCATGAAGCATTTAGCCTTATCTTAATTCTGTATCCCTAAAACCATTGACAACAGCACAAGAGTAGACACATCATATTTTAACTGGCAGTTCTTTCCTTTTGTCCATGCCCTTGTCTCATTTTCTCTCCTGTATGCTAGTATCCCTGAGTTTGTTCTGTAAAAGCAAAGGACGCTTCTCTATTAATGACTATTTAAATAACAGAATTACATTGCTATTGTACTTGCTTCTTTCTGTCCCAGAAAATGACTATGAATTAATTAGCATTAGAACATTGGAAATACCTATGAATTTTAACATTTTATTTGGAACATTCTGTGTGCATTATTGAATAGTTTTACACCTCCTAATGCAAAACTGATGATAATCTCTACAAACCTCTGGGTGAGTGTGTGGGGTCATTAAATTTAGATTTGCAAAGAAAATGTATGGATTTCTCTCTCACATTATTCTCTCCTATGCTGATAATGCTATTTTTGAGCTCTTGTTCAGAGTGGTGCATTTGTATTGAAAGATTCTCTTATCCTGTATCTTATTCATCTACCTTTTCAAACTTTTCATTTCATAAGGGAAATGAACTGTGTTTTTTCAATACTTAAAACATTCCTACAGGAAAACAATAACGTTACGTTTTCAGCTGTTAGTGATGTCTCCAGAGTTAATGGTCACTGAAAGGCAGCCAAGCGTGAAAAGCAAATATACATGTCAGAAATTAAAATAGCAATTTATACTATGACTCCTTCCTCTCTTCATTGATGATAGTTTATTCTCTCTGTGAAGGAGGATTCCAGAAGTAACATTGTTGTTTTGGCATCCAGGCATCTGCGTGGGAAGAAAAATGATGAAGTTTTATTAAAAATTCTCCCTGGAATCCTAAGTTTGTCCTATATTTCTGCTGATTGTTTATTATTACTTTTATTTTTAAAACAAAGATTTTTTTTAATTCATGGGAGCTCACAACATAATTAGCACCCTGCCAGTGACTGAAGGAGAAACAATGGCAAACACATTCCCTTCTGAAAGTAATGAATCCCTCTGTACTACTTCCCGAGGAAAATCTTAGTGTGTTAAGCCACATAGATTGCTTAAATAGGGTTTTTTTCCTACCAGATCAGGTATTATTTCCATAACTTACATTTTTCTGGTTTAAAATAAACTTTTTTTTTTCCCCAAAAGTGAATAGCAGCATGTATTTAGGCTTAAATTTACCACTCTGTTTTAATAAATTTGCATAAAAATTATAATATTTAAGTAGTATTTTCTTCATGGTAAAGTTCTAAAGAAAGCCATTGGACAAGGAAGAAAAATACTGTCTATGCATCCAGAACCAAAGGTTGTTGAAATGATTAAACAGGTTTTAACAGCAGACAAAATAAATGTTTTCATCATTTCATTTTGCTTTACTTCAATAACTAGTTCAAAGTTAAGAAACTGCTTAGAAATAGAGTAAGCTGAAGCATCATTATCTTTAAATGGTCTATAAATATATTCTCAGCCTGGGATGATGAGACTTATGAATTCATTCATTAACTGTATATAAAATTTGCTTTGGTAATAAACCAGTTTTAAGCATAAAATGTTTGCTACATTTTACCTCTGTATACAACACATCTATTTCAATTTTATTTAAATAATAAATACACTTGAAAGTCTGGGTTTCTGCATTTCAATTTAATTCCCATTTACATCCAAAGCAGCTTGATAAGAGTCATAAATAAATAAAAATTAATCTTGTAGTAAAGAAGATTTCTAACAGAATGCTGTGTGTTAAGCATTTGAATAATTATGCTGAACTATATCACCTCTTAAATGGGAATTTTCTGGTAGTGTATGAAAATAAAAGAAGAGTTTAAAAATTAGATTCATTTGCAGCACAACTTTTTTTTTTTTAAGTTTACTTGCAGACAACAATCAAACTCACTTTAGGAAAAAAGAATAACAATACACATTCACAATAAGAATAGAAAGGGTGGGGTTTTTAATTTTTCTTTACAGTTTTTGTTTTTTCAAGTGAATAGGAATTATTTTCACAAAAATAATGTTTGAAGATCTCATGAGAAATAATTTTATATTAAATTGTTTTTGTGAAAAATATTTGACAGGTTTTCCAGAAATATTATTGTTCAGGTCCTTATAAATAGGCAATTCTTTAATATACGGGAGATAGAATGGTTATATGAGCATTAAGTCATAACTCCCTACTTTAGGAGCATCTATACTCAGAATTTTAATTCAGTAGAAAATTCCAACATTTCTAAAATTAGTTTAATTTTCAACTGGAAGAAAAAGTTTTGACATATTCAACTTTTTAAAATTCAGTTTAGAAGCGATGGAAATATCAAAATGGGCAATATTTTTTCCCTCAGCAAGAGTAAGGCAGTTAGTTTAAATTTTGATATAACAGGAGTTACATTCATTTATTTTTAAAATGTAGATTTATGCTCACACTGTTCTTGATTTAGTTTATATGTATATGATGCTGGGATTTTAATTAGGCAGACTTGGTTGCTTTATATTAGGCTTCTTTAATGACTTATCAAAATCAGAAAATTCATGTTCTTCCTTTAACACAACAACAACAGTACATCTTGTTAAACCACAGAGCTGACAGAGACACCTATTCCCAACTTGCTCAAAGTTGTGAATTAACGATTTAGTTTCAAACATAAAATTGCCAGAAAAGGATTTCAGAGTGTAGTTTGACAGCTACTCTGGTTTGTGTGTATCCAAGATTGTAAGGGCAATGAAACTGCAGCATAGAGCTTCATTTCTCAGTGCTGGCTGCACTAAAGAAGGAGATTTTATTATGTCAGTGGTGGAGAACGCATTTAAAACAGCAAGGACATCACCAGATTCAACCAATACTAATTATACCTTAACTGCATCTCCTGTTTTCTCCTAGGTCTTACTGCTGCCGCATCTCTCGTATCCCTGGCTTGGGCTTTGGCTTCCTACCAAAAGGCCCTCCGTGACTCCCGCGATGACAAGAAACCCATCAGTTATATGGCTGTTATAATCCAGTTTTGCTGGCATTTCTTCACAATTGCAGCAAGGGTCATTACTTTTGCTCTGTTTGCCTCGGTTTTCCAGCTGTACTTTGGGATCTTCATTGTGCTGCACTGGTGCATCATGACCTTCTGGATCGTCCACTGCGAGACAGAGTTTTGCATCACTAAATGGGAGGAGATAGTTTTCGACATGGTTGTTGGGATAATCTATATCTTCAGCTGGTTCAATGTCAAGGAAGGAAGGACACGCTGTAGGCTTTTCATTTACTATTTTGTCATCCTTTTAGAAAACACCGCCTTGAGTGCTCTCTGGTATCTGTACAAGGCCCCACCAATCTCTGATGCATTTGCCATACCAGCACTGTGTGTAGTGTTCAGCAGCTTTTTAACAGGCATTGTTTTTATGCTAATGTACTATGCCTTCTTTCACCCCAACGGACCAAGGTTTGGGCAGTCACCAAGCTGTGCTTGTGAGGACCCTGCCACTGCCTTCACCCTGCCCCCAGAAGTGGCAACAAACACTCTACGATCCATCTCCAACAACCGGAGTGTCACAAGTGAGCGGGATCAAAAATTTGCTGAGAGGGATGGGTGTGTACCTGTGTTTCAGGTGAGACCCACCGCACCATCCACACCTTCATCCCGGCCACCAAGGATTGAGGAGTCTGTCATTAAAATCGATCTGTTCAGGAACAGGTACCCAGCGTGGGAGAGACACGTGTTGGACAGGAGCCTGAGGAAGGCGATCTTAGCATTTGAATGTTCCCCTGCTCCTCCACGGCTACAGTATAAAGATGATGCCCTTATCCAGGAGCGCTTGGAATATGAAACCACATTATAAAAAAAAAAAAACCCACAGCTTGAAGAAGCTCTGATGTTACAGTCCAAATTAAGGGTTGTCAGTAGGTCTGTAGGAGTAACTAAACTGTGTACTACAAGTAGAGCAGCAAGCTGTAGTGTTCTTAGTCTGGCTCTCATCATGATTATCATTTGATCCACTGTGTGCAGTCTGTCTGCAGGACACTGATAACAGCAGCATCACCTGAAAGCCTCATAAAAAACCAAACCCTGACCCACACATACAGAGCAGTTACTTCAGCTGGGGAAACTCACCCACAACTCCTTGCTGCTGTGAAACTCTGGCTGCACAGTACTTACAATCAAACCAATAGGAAGGCTCTGACCAGAGCTTTCAATTTTAGCCAGTAGTGCATTTTATTTTAGAAATTGATATTTGCATAATCAATGGCAAAAAAACCCGAACAAAACCTTTTCAAACGTAACAAAACTGTAGCACGCAGTGTTGCCGTGATGAAAACTGTTTTCTGGGGAAAAAATAGGAACATAGTAGTCTTCAGCAGTCCCATAAATCAACCATTCCAGTTAGAATAGGTTTGCAAAATAGTTCTTACTTAAAAAGATACATTGTCATGTTTGTAAAACTGTCAATGAAATATAAACTAAATTCTGATTAATTAGGTCATAAACATTAATACTACCAGAACTGTTTGGTTTTTGTGGAATTTCAAACTCTTTTAAAATGCAATTTAAGTTCTTTACGTTACTTTCAACAGAAATCCTATGCAGCTCACTTATGGTTTTCAGAAGAAATAAGGAGCTCCAACATGTAGTGATGTAAATTAAATGATAATCATGATTCAGTGTTCAATTTGCAAAAAAATTAAAATAGATATATATGTAAAAGGACAGGGAAGTATAGTTTTCATTTTCTAAACGTTTTGGAGGACCCCATTCAGATATTTCGGAAGAAACTACAAGGAGATGAACACACTGAAGTTTCTCTGTTTCAGGACTGAGAATGCATGATTCAGTGTGTGAATGTATGCAGGGGTGACAAGAGACTGTGACATGCCATACCCTTCTAGTGCCAAACATTGTATAACTGCAAGGTTGATGTTGCCTGAGGGACATATAACAAGTGGCACGAGCCCTACCAGAACAAGAAGCAGGAAAGACCATTCAAGTTCTCAACGTGTAGAGACAGCTCTGATTTTTTCCCACCCAAGGTGAAAGTGATGTCTTTTAAAGGCTTTCAGTCACCTCTTAGTAAGTATATTCACGGAAGTATAATATAAGCAAGTTAAGTGGAAGACCCTCTTCTGCCTGTTCAAGACTTGTGTTCAGATACGTCTAAAAATTACATTGAATCTCTTGTAATAGAGTGCTTTTGCTGCAAGCTTTTGGGTTATAAATACCTCCCTAAATCTAGTCAATGGTATCCTCCTTTATGTTAAAAGTATCCCCTGATGGTGCTTTCAGATGCATTAAAGGTGCAAGTCAAAATTTGATAGTATTTTTTTTAAAGCCGGTGCAGAGTGAAAAACTCATGAATTATTTCAATATTTTTGTAAAGTAAAAATATGGTATAAAAAGGTTACTTTTTATAAACCTCAAATCTTTTAATACATTTCATTCTCTTTATAGCTTAGATTTTAAGAATTGGTCCATGAATTTTATCAACTGGCTTCTGCAGGTTGATATAAACCTGGTTTTCACACATTATGGATTTGTTTTGCAGTGTAATGCTATATGAAAGCCTACATGGGTACTTTTAGAATACTCTATAAATTGTGGATCCTGCTTCAAATGTAAAAGTGGCTTGTAAAGACATCAAGCGATTCCATGAGAAACAATTTGCTATAACTATTTCCATCCGTTTTAGGAGAGCAAAACAGAACTGAAGAGTTAGTGTTGTAAATGGCATTGTCAGGATGGAGAAGACCTGATGATTGGTGGTGTAATCTTCACTGTCAGGTATATCCAGTGTTGTCACTGCTGTATATGCTGCCGGGTAAATTTCAGTCTTTTCCTATTATTAATATTTGTACTATGAAATGGCCGAGGTTACACAGCCTATGTTTATTTGTATGCATTCAATTAGCCATTTTTAATGTTGACTTTTTTTATTAGTGAAATGTTCAATACCTGTTGTTCTTTGCTGGGGCAAGTTCCTCAAAACAAAACATCTGTGAAAGTGCAGGAATCTGCAAGGCAGAGGGAACTTTACACAGATTAGAAAACACCCAATGCTTCAAGGATTTCTTAGGTATTTTCAAATTAAGCGGTGGCTGTCTGCCTCTATACTAATTTTTTAAATAAAGTATTTCTTTGATAGTCCAAACCTGAAGCTCTGATTGCCCTTCCCTCCATGGAGATATAGCTGATTTTTCTCAGAAAAGCACTCATATTTTGTCAGAAAATATACCACCGCAAGAAGTGGTAAAAAAAAACAGATTTTGGGATTAGGTCCTTTGTCCCATCAAATTCAGTAAAGCCTTCACTCCAGAATCAAATGCTTAGCTCACACAAGGAAATTGCCATTTTTCTTTACGAACAAGGCAAATGGTAAACTTTGTAATCCAAGATGTGAGAGGCTTTTTTGGAAATAGTTTGATGTGTTTGCTGCTGCTTTACAAACTCAGAAATTTTAGCAGAAGTGAGGCAGAGCGGGCAGCAGTCTTGAGCTCTTGCCTCCCACCAGCACCTCCTGGGGAGAGGGGCAGCATCACAGCTGTCAGCGAGGCTCTGCCTCTTCTAATGTCCCTCTCATCTTGTCTCGCTCTTCCTCGGAGCTGTGAGCCCTTTGGTCAGGGCTTACAGAATTGAAGAAGCGTCGCCTCGTGCAGAATTTAAAGGGTTACGGTCTGGACCAGTGCTTGCATTGCAAGGTTTCTGAAGAAGGTTTGAGGTGAGTTTGTTTCATTTGCTCTTGTTTGGTTTTGGAAGGAAGGACACAGAGGTGTGATTTATCCATTTACTTTTTTTACTTTCCCAGCATTTTTTTTTTTTCATACTGTTTGTAAAAATGTTTATCTTAAGCAAACTAGTGCAGGGTCGGAGTGCACATGGCAGTACGTATACACACCTTGTCTTCAGAATTCAATCCAGCTGTTTGAAGAAGGGGGAGAAGACATTTTACACTGAGTCAAAATTTGCTCTCCAAAATCTTGCTCTGTTACATTCGTGTATGTGATACTCACACTGAGAACAGGGCGGCCATTGAAATCTTAACACTCGGATGAATACGTAGTTTCTTAATTTGCATTGCTGTGAATAGGCACATTAAATGCTGTAAGAATTTTTTATAGAAATTGTCAAGATTAAACATAGTCCACGTTGAAATTCCATGATGGCCTTATGGACAGTTAATAATCAATATGCACTATTCTTTTTAGCACAGACAGTTTTAAAATCAATAAAGTTCAATTAAGACAGCAATAGCAAAAAAAAAAAAAAAAAAAAAAAAAAATTAATAATAAAAAAATCAGGTCTTTTAAATTTCATTCCAAAATACAGGAAAATTTTTAAAAATCGTAATTATATTCTGGAAAAGAAAAGCAACCACATCTCTTTGTTAGAAGTAAGAATTATGTAAGCATTGTTCTGATGAACCAAAAAAATTTCCTGGCAGAATTAATGTAACTTATCTGGTTAAAGTCTTGGTCCTAAAATTTTGAGAGTTGTGGATTTATATGTTACAGAAAAGACAATTTAACTAGTATCAACTGCTCAAATTAAATAAAGGAGAGGTAACGCATACCTATAGTCATTCTGAAAACTTATAAGAAAATGTAAGATAAACATTTTGTCATATTTTAAAGGAAAAGTTATTTGTTTTATAATAGGATAATTTTTTTAAATGAAAAAAAAATTATTTGAAAATATGTGCAATACTTTTTTCCTGCAGATTTACTGATGAAAAAACTTGTTTCCACTTTTGTTTATGTCAATTTAAATATGCTTCTTGTGCTAGAACAATGTTTCTGTGTTTGGGTTCTATGGGCTTGATGGCACATAGACAATATTTTCACTGGCAAATCAAAATCTCCTATTAATTCATTTCTATCACATTTTAGACAATTTTTCTTCCAAAATTAAATGCTAGGCCTCAGCTGCCTGATTTTGTAAACTTTTAAACAGAGGAGGCAAACTAAAATTTTATTGGAGCTGAAGTTTTTAATATGTGGTAAATAGCTGTTAAACCCAAATTCATTTAAAACATATGGTAGTCTTGCCAATATTATCTTCCTAAAATAGCAATTCATGAGCGGTACCAAAAGTACAAGCGCTGCTTTGTTTGGAAAGGGACTCCTAATCACACAATACATTCATTTACTTTTCACAACTAGCCTGTTGGTTTTTTTAGAACCCAAATTAAGCCATTTTGAACTGTTTGTGATTTGATCATACAGCTCTAAGAGCACTGTATTGAGTTTTAGTTGGCTCTGCCAGTGATTCAGTTTCCAAAGTCACTGCCCTTTCTCTGCTCCGTCCCTGCAGTTGTGCTATCCGGAGTGACTGAGATGCTGTGATTGACTCTGCGCCCCCTGCACTGCCTGCACAATGCCAAGGAAAAAGCTTCAGCAGGTTGCTGGGGTCCTACTGCTGCCTCTCTTGCTCCTGTGCATGGTGGGAAGCAGAGTAAATTGCATTTGCGCATCCCTCTAAACAAGCTTATTTAGGCTGAGCCCCGACAAGAAGTGCATGATGAAAATAATCACAACACGTGTCCATGAATTTACAAGCCCAACACTGTAATTACTAATTCTGTAGTGTAACAATGAAGAATGTGGGAAGAATTGTCTAAATACACAATAAGCCATTTAATTTTGCTAATTGTAGCAATTAGACTAGCTCGCATGAAGCCCATGCTCTCAGCAGAAAGCCAAATGGTGTAAATGGCAAACAGCCATTTATATACCAGAGATGTTATGTTATGAAATCCTTCCTTGACTGTTTATAGAACTGTCTTTTCATTACAGCATTGAATCCATTCCTCTTTACTCTAATAAAACAGGTAAAATACAAAATGAGAACAGGTTCTTTTAAATCTGAAAAT